GCACATGCATTCCTCAGCAGACTATTTCTGTACCTCTCTCCAAACACACAACCTTTTCTTCTCCTCCCCCAAACACCCTTTATGACCCTGAACGCATATCTTACACTTCCCCCGCCACAGCACCTCCCATTCCTTCTTCATAGGCACCAACAATCACAGGCACCAATAACTTGCACCTTTACCCCTCACCCAGTCCCCAGTGCACACCCTGATATCCCTCCCATGCATAACTTCCTCTATAGTCTCCCAAGCACACTCTGTTTCTGCCTACAAAGATCTTCCTTCTCATCTACCCGGCACAGGAATACCTATATGCCTCTCTTCCACTTTACACCTGTTCTCAGTATCCAACAACATAGCGTCCCATTCTTCTTCAGCACACCAGTTTCTCCAAAACCCTAACATGCACCACTTAGTTCTCCCACAAAAAGCCTCTCTTGCATCCTTTACCTCTGTCAATGGCCACCTACTATACCACACTCCTCTCCCTAGCCCTATTATTCCCCCCCTCCCATGCAGCCCCATTTCCTTATGCGCTCTTTCCCACTCCCGCCTTCATACTTAGCTTCTCTTCTCCCCATCCCCTCTTTCACACAGAGCTCTTCATACCAACACGTGTAGCCGAGACCAATCTTCATACTACCAGCACCTGGAATCACTAGTTCCCTCTCTGCTGCTTTTGTTCATTGTGCCACAAAGCACAGAGATAGTTATCATTTTGTTTGAGGTTTTGCAGAAACCTTTGTCAGCAAGTCCAGCCCATCACCTTCTTAGACAGAGCAGGTATAGGTGCTGTCTTTTTTTTTCCCATGGCATTTTCCTGTAGGTACAGGAGTAAGGCAAACTTTAAACACCATGTGCATTCCTCATACAGGGGAATCGCACAAACCGAATGCCGCATGAGGTCTGAAAGGTAGTAACTCTTATGAACAGAGTGGACCATATATCACACATCCCTGTCTATTAAAAAAAATCCCCTCTGCTCTTCTCTAAATAACTGGTCTTGCAATAGAGGAACCAGAGAATGCAGTCAGAGCAGCCTATTCGCTCCAAAATACCCATCTCTCTCCATCCTCTATATTTATAGATTAAGCGATAAGACAAACACTAGGCTTTCCCGTTTATTTTAACGAAGGATTAAGAACCGATTGGAAAACTATCTGAACCATTCAAGGACTTTCCCCCCTCGGCTAGCGGCAGTGTGGTGTCTCCAAAAGGACTCCTCAGCTCTAAACTGCAATTCAGCTGTTTAGATGAGAAACAGCTTTCTATAGTCCTCTCTTTTTGTGCATGTGTGCGCGTGTGTGTTGCTCATTTGTGTACTGCATTCCTAGAAGGCACTTTCCAAACCCTGGAAATCACCGTATAAGAACGGGTTTCTGGCTTTGCCACTTCCAAGTGAATCTTTTTCACCTAGGCACAGATGTGCAGGGAGTCCTTTGCTCTCCAGCCTCTTTTCCAGAGAGCCTAGTGGTTAGGTGGGAGCAAGAGGTGGAGCAGAGTAGCTGGAAAGGGCAGGTTTGCAGTGTCTCGCACACAAGAAAAAAAAGAGAAAAAAAATCTCCAGTGAAGTTAGTTACCTGAGATAGGGGAAGTCTAGGAACTGGGAATCCTGACTTGGCTTGTCATGGGCTCTAACCTTCCCCCGGGGGCAAGTGTAGTGTGTGTGGGGAGGCTGGTTCTTGCGTTTCCTGCTCAGGACTCACAAGCCCTTTTGTTACAGCTCAAGTTGCTGGTTTCCCTCTCAAATAAAAAAAAAAAAAAAAATCATAATAATAATAATTAAAAAAAAAAAAAATCAAAAAAAAAAAAAATAAAAAAAAAAAAAAAATCATAATAATAATAATTAAAAAAAAAAAAAATCAAAAAAAAAAAAAATAAAAAAAAAAAAAAAAATCATAATAATAATAATTAAAAAAAAAAAAAAATCAAACCATGAGTCTCCTTTGCTTTCGCCTCTTAAATGGGATCCCTTTAGCACCTCATATTTCTCCTCTGCTGTTTCCCTGCCAGGGACCTGAGCTGCAGTCTGTAGAGCAGAAGGGGAGAGAGGAGCTTTCAGGACCTGGGGGGGAGGGCAGGTTGGGGCAAGGCTGCAAGGCTGGGGGCAGACCCTTTGAAGACCCCCCTCCCCAGCCCTCCTGGCTCGGGACCCTCGCAGAAAACAGCCCCCGTCCCTTACCGTGGTAGGAGTAACCATGGCATCCGTGTGACTGTTTCCAGAGAAGCCGACATGAAGAGAAAGGTGGATGCAAATGCGTTCATTCAAAGTCCCGAAGTTGGTTTGCTGGGGCCGTGCAGAGCCGCGCGATGGGAGGGAGCCTTCGACTCTGAGTCCCGCGAACATAATCTGCGCGATTATAACAAACCCGCTCGGCCAGATGGCTGCGCTCGGCGCCTTAACCCCTTGGGCGCCGCGCTGCCTCCCGCCCGCCCGGGACCCTGCCCGGCGCCAGCCTCTGCGGGGCTTGTTTCTCTTTTGTTGGGTTTGGGGTTTGGTGTTTTTTGGCAGGCGGACAAAGCCCCCAGAAAGATGGTTGTTGTTGGGGGTTTTTGGTCCGTCCTTCCCTCCCATGTGTGTTTTTTCCAACCTTCCCCCCCCCGTTCTTTTAAAAAGCCCCATCGCTTCCCCGATGCTGCAGGCATCGCTGCGCGCCCCTCCTGCGGGCATCCTCTTCAGAGGAGCGGGATCAGCACCAGGACGCCTCTGGCAGCATCCCCTCTTGGAGTTGGGGTCGGGGAAGGCAGTCCCAAGCGGCCCCCTCTTCCAGCTGCGGGTCTCAGCAGGGGAGGATTTTATACCCCAAATGTCGGTGCATTTGCACTCCTATGGTCCACCCACCCTCATCTTTCTCCCTCGCCCCTCTCTCTCTCGCTCTTTCTCTCTCTCACACACACCCCATGTCAAACTATCAACATATGTGGCTATTCTTTCCCCATTCACACACACACACACTGGTCTCTCTCTCTCTCTCACACACACATACACAAACTGTCAACATGTGTAGCTATTCTTCACACACACACCCTGGTCAAACTATCAACATATGTGGCTATTCTTCCCACATCTGCGCGTGCGCGCGCGCACACACACACACACACACACACACACGTCAAACTGTGATGTGTAACCATTCTTACCACATTCACCCCCCCGATTTCTCTGTCTCTCACATACCCCCCCCCCAAACTGTCAACATGTGTAGCTATTCTACACACACACGCGCGCGCGCTGCTCAAGCTGTCAACCTATGTGGCTATTCTTCCCACATTTGCACATGCACACACCCCCCCCCTCCCAAACTGTCAACATGTGTATCTATTCACACACACACACCCAGTCAAACTCTCAACATACGTGGCTATTCTTCTCACATTATCACATATGCATATAGACACACACACAGGTCAAACCATCAACATGTGATTTATAACTATTCTTACCATATTCACCCCCACACACACACATACCCACCCCCTTCGCACTGTCAGCTCCTGTAGCTGTTCTGTTCCCTGTTCACAAGTCATTAAGGGGCACCTTAAACAGGTGAAACAGCCCAGCTTGGAGGCATAATACCACAAACCTTTCTGCCTCTTTCTTTTTTGTTGTTTAAGTTCAAATCTTAAACCTTCTCTCTCTTTTTTCCCCCTGTTGGTTCACTTAGAAATGGTTCTTTTTCTCTTCCAATCAAATCTTCCCCCTCACAACAAAAGGGTCTAGGTTGGGAGTCATTATCTGGGTGTAAAAACTGCCTTCTGGCCAGCTATTCCTTACGTTTTGATTTTCAGATTAGTCCATTAAGAAAGGGAGGGTGGGTGCCAAAAACATGGAAAGTGCATCAGCAGCCAGCAGTGACTGGGTTCCAAACTTTTTATTTAGAGCAATTGCGCACA